CAGTTTGACTGTGAGCACGGTTAGAGATTTCTTTCTTTTGGTATTTTCGTAGATGGGCGTAGGAACAAAGAGGCGTGTGCGTCGTTGTGGGATTGAACACAGCCTACTTACTTTCCGGCCAATGAAAACGGCTCCACCGATTCCCTTTAAAGTCAGCGCAATAAAAGCGCACACAGTCTTTGACCGTTGACATTGTAAAAGCAGAAATTGACTCGCTGGAGTCCAGACAGAAGAACGAAGCATGCAAAAATGCTTACAAGGAACCTCCACTTTGTTGGCCAGGAAGTTCATCATAGATCATCGCTGTGAAGTGGACACTTGAGACCACTTTCCACCCCGATCTTTCGTGTTTATGTGTGCAGTGGTGTGTGGGGCTGGTATAATACATATAAAAATGACGATGGCAATGAAGCGCTCAGTAAAATGATTTCTACAATTATTCAGACAGCTCGATGCAAGCTGTTGTCATGTCTCTGAATGAAATACGATGACATGCAATACACACGCCACCGCAGTCTGTCTGCCTGCGCCTCGATCAAATCCACCAAAATCGTATTGCACCACCTGCGCCACTACTGAGAACTTGTCCACGATGCTCTACAGTCCAGCCAACTTTTTGTTGCCAAATGGTCATGTCCACCATGTTTGCCGGAATCATCAGGTTTTTCACCGAGCACACGTGCATTGTCTCTGAAAATAGATCCCTGTAACTACAAACTGTCAAGCACTATAAAAGAAGCTCAGTCCAAACCATCGGTCTGAACGCCGCGCCACCTTTCACAGTAGTCATGGCGGTAGGAAAAACTATTTGCCAAAATGTTAACGACTTCTGGCTACCGCTGTCGAGACTTCAGCCAGAGGACATTAGCTTCAATGTAAAACGGAATGCTTTGGATAAAATGGTGAAATCTACGAGGATTTACGAAGCACAGAACTAGGGCCAGGCAGACATAAATGTTCATGACCGTTCTTTCACCATTCAAGGCTTTTAAGCAAGCTCTCGGCCAGAGGAGTGAAATCACAGAAAATGTCATCAAACTGAAATGACTTTGTAAATGCGGTACTAGAAGACCGGAGAAAAACCCGTATCATGACTTCTGATGAAGGTTTCTCTGATTGCAGAGTTGACCTGATGAGCACTGTGATCCCAGTGCATCACTCGAATCCAATAAATTGTGGTCGCCTCTCACGCGATCCAAAATTGGATGGAGACTTGGATGCACAAGTCTCTATCAATAAAGTCTGAAGCACTGCTGACTTCGGGAATCAAGATTTGGGAATCAACCAGAAGTCCTGAGCTAATGTTGGAATCCCTCACATTTTTTTGGACCGCAAGGATATGCCGTACAATCTCCATTGATTGGTTTAAATGAGCCGAAGTAACTTCCAGTAGTGTGAAACTAGCCCAATTGCAATTAGGATAGTGAAGTCACCAAACTCTCATTTTCCCTTTTGTCCACTGAATTGTGGCAAGCATATCCATTATGAAACGATTTTGCGTGTGTTCATTTGTGTATTATTCCGCTGGATGAGGTAAAAGCCACAACTGAATTCTGCAAATCTGTGTGGAGGAGTGACAATGTACCGAGGCACAAGTCATGACATTTTGGTCAAAAGCTCCCTAATTAGTTTCACTCCTTGCAGTCTTAAGTCAAAATAGGGATTCATTGTTTTGACATTAATGTTGTAACTTCAATCAGTTCCAAATTGTCCAAAATGTGATTTCTTGAAGCCTAAATATGTAACATGTATGTTGACATGTGAAATTTAGTATCAGTGAATGTATTAAACTTAAGTACACAAATATGAAAAAAACAAAACGTCTTGGTATCTACTACATATACAGCTACGCAAAAAAAATGCTAGAGCAATAGAATTATGAAAATAAATAATTTATTCAATGAAATGAAAATATTACAAAAAAAATGTACATATCTAAATACTGTTGGTATATATGTATGTAAATATTTACCGGTATATGTATATGAATGTGAGTATATATAATTAATATTGCAGATCAAGATTCACAAACAGTGAACTCGTGGTCAATGTTTTAACACCATCATTTCAATTTAAAAATGTTGAAATATTGTGAGCATTTTTATTGTTTTCATTTTCTTTTCATTTAGCAATCTCCCCTTTTTTTTTAAAAATAAATGTAATCGTATTTGAAGTTTTCTGATTCCAAAACTAGTTATTCACCGATTTCTGTGTGCTATGTAATATGAGGTAATCATAAATTTATTTGGGTTCACGGTAATAACGGCGCTCTGAAAGAAAACAGAATGACAATGTGAACCATGACAAAAAAAGAATTTGGCACCTCTGCTCTAAAGATAAAGATGGAGATCATGATGCTTGCATAAGTCTACTGATTAGTTATTAAAATTGTCATGATTAATGTAGGAATATTAATAATATTACATGTCGCTGTAGACACATACTAAATCAAGAGGTTGCAGCGATTTGAAAGCAAATATAATTTTTGCCTCTGCAGTTTAAAATGACTTCTAATGGTTTTTCTTTACAAATGCATAACACATTGCGAGTTGCTTACTTTTCAATAAGGCAACTCAGTTTCTTGGCATCCATGTCAATCGTTCAACTTTCTGTTGAAATCTGGACTGGAATAATTATACATGTTAAAAAAAAATGTTGACAGATTTGTTTTTGTAATTGTCTTGCCAAATCCACCTGATACTTTGTATTTGTGATTCAAACAAATACTGCACTCAGTCCCACCATATGGTTTTCTAACAAGACAGTGGACATATTTATTAACAAACCCTTTCCCAGTTGTTTCCCCGGAGTCCATAAATCATTTACACCTGTCAATGGAAAACATTCAGATTCGATCATAATTCAAGCAAGTGCAAGTGTTCTGAGCACATGAAACGAATCCAATGAAGTGCTAATAATGTTCAAGTTATTCATAGAGACTTGACCCTAGAACTAGGCTCAGTGATCACCCCCCTCCCCCCCCCCTCCCACTTTTGTTTTAGTGCACACACAGATGGAGTTGGTTTGAGAAGCATAGGATGTTTTGTGTGGAGTAATAAGGATTTTGAATGGAGTTCAGCCAATGCTGATCATTATTGCCCTTTAACCTGACACATAATGTGATGAGAAACCTGCGCTGGTTTGAAGGCAGCCAGCTTGCAGGAAAAGAGACTTTTTATGGAATAATCATTTTCTTTTCGAGTCTAACAATTTGATCTCTTTACATCTGAGCTGCCACTTGCCCCCCCCCCCCCAAAAAAAAAACAAAACAACAAACATTCAGACAGCGCAAACCTCTGTCAGGGAAGCTATGTTTCCACATAATCCTAACAATTCTGTTGGGAAAGGGAGGGACCATCATAATTCTGTGTGAAAAATGCCTGATGATTGATGAGCTCCAAATGTAATGGTTCCTTTCTTGGCACATGTTTCATACCTCCACTGAGATGAGAGAAAAAAAACATCCAGCTTAAAAAAAATAAAAAAGAGTGCTGAGATACAACAACATTTGTGTTCATATTAAGAAAAGGAATGCAGTACAGCTTGGCTTTTGGCTATCGCGTACTTCTGTTTTGATGTGACTGCTTTTCAGTGCTGGGCTGACACAGACAAGAAAGCTCAACTAAACTAAAGTAGTGTAAAAAGGGATGAAAAAGTAAACTCACAGACTGAGTGTGAGTGGGAGGAAAGGCATGCATACACAATGCCTTTCTCTGTCTGAAATAGATAAGCGGCTCTTGAAATGAGCCCTTTAAAAAAAGGGTGTATGTTTCTACTTTGTGGCGGTTTCATTTTCGATTTTTAATTCTCGGTAGACCTGGCGAGTTCAAGCTGTCAATGAGGACACAAATATTCTACCTGCGCGCATCTGTCTGGAAGCCCACCAAGGCCACGTTGTCTCCCCCACGTGTTTGCGACACACATGGCCGACATACACTGCATGTGTCCGTGGTGAATACCTACAATGACGTTGGGTTTACAGCGAAAACGTGGATTTTAACAAGACTATTGGTAACTGCTGAAGAAAGTACTGCACATAAAACAGCATGTACGGCATCTGTTGCTTCTGTTTAACATCAAATGGGTGATAAAACAGTCAATGAGACAGCTGGTAGTTGTGATAGAGGGAGCACCAAGAGGAATAAGAGATAGCAGCCTGAAGCCTTTTTCTTTCAAACCATGTTGTGAAATTTGCTTGGGACATTAGCCTTTTTGGTACACCTGCACAATCAAATGAGATCCGACACAAGACCGCGGCGGTGTGGGTGCGCGTGTGAATTTTGATGAACACCGTCAACAATGTTTTTTGTTAATGTGGGAGAATAGCCCAATTTTGTCATCGGCCGTTAATGACGGTAAATATTCAAATTCTAAATTATTTTAAAATTTAATTGATCTATACAAGATATGATGGGGGGGATCTTCCGCGACTTCTTCGCCTGGATCCGGCCGTAATTCAGCTAGCATGCTTGAAGTCAACAGTGCGACACACTTTGCAAGCATGCAGAGATAACTCTTTGTTAGAGTGAGGCAGAGTTTTGGATTTTTGTCAATGTTTCTTTGCTTGGAAATCAATCGGCACACCTATTAAAGCAAAAAGTGGGCCAGGAAACCTCTGACCTCCATCTTCGACTTATTAGCGATGTGTATAAAGATACGCTGCCAAGAAGGAAAGTATTAACAAGAATGTGTTGTTCAAATGAGGTTCGGTTTCACAACTATCCAAGGATCCTTCAAGTATAAGGAAGACCAAAATAATAATCATCAATGTGCTTAAGTGCTGAATATGATCATAATTATTTGCATTTGTGTTCGAATTACAATACAAGAATACCATTTAGGAATGTCATTGAAAATGTCTCCAAAAAGTTTTTCCCTCCTAAAAACAGAATTAAAACTTGTTTTCTGATATTAAAGAGGGCAAACATCACAAGCTTTGCACCTGCTCTTACACAGCCACGTGCAGCTAAGAGTTCCGTTGACCTGTGACACATGCTTACCTCCTTGCAGAGTGGGCTGAATCGCTGCTACGAGGAAGAGTCCGTGGAGGAGCAGCCGAACCTTTCCGTTAGCCATCTCGCTCCCAAATGCACCACCCCTCTCCAGAGGAGCTGGTTTTATTCTCTGCTACCTAATTAACACAAGTTGAGGAGTGGTGAGGGGGGGAAAAAAGGAGAACGATATGGTATTAGGAGACGACAAAAGCCCAGTTTCAATGCTTCACTTTGCTTTTTCCCTCCACCCTGTCTGTTGTTGCTGTTTTTATTCTGGTCACTCTTGCCAGGAGTTCTAGTGCTCTTGCCAGCAAGGACAGGGGGGTGGGGGGGGGGGTGGAGGCTGGGTGGGGGTCAAGAGACGCATATTGTAGGAGAGAGAAAGTCCCCCATCAAGAAGGAATTGAACTATTTGCCAAACACTTCTTGGATACAAAGCATACTTATCTGAGAGCGTCACCTAGTCAGACCGAGGAGCAGCGACCCACATAGCCTGACAAGTACCTCTCGAAATGGCTTCACATGTTCAGCTGCTTTGATTTGTCACAATAACGTTTGTTACTAGGGAAAAGTAACTAAATACAAGACCTTATGAAGTCACATTCGGCAAGAAGAAGCAGCAATCAGAGGGACACAGTGGCTGGCAGTGCGCATGTGAAAAGCCTTCCTGGAGGTGGTGAGGACACTATTGGCATCACATTCAGATAAGAATGCCAAAATGAATGAAAGCCCAACCTGCCTATTTTATGCTGTAATCCTGAGTCATCTTGTTAAAGTAATGGCAACTGTCAATCTGATAACAAGCATCGTAAGATGAGGCAGCAGAGCTTTGTGATATTTTAAAGGATTCGAGAGACTGTCTGACAACGGAGCAGAGCATAAACACATTGTGCCTGTGAATCATTTCTCAAGCACAGCGCGCAATGCAGTGCCAGAACATGATGACCTGCGTGAGGATCAGACGCCACCAGTATCAACGAGACCAAACAAGTGAATGATTTGGGCAGTTAAATCCCTATTAGGAAAAAAACAATAGTCTACAAATGATCCCTATATTTTACACTCTTGCTTTCTATAGGGGAAGACGTGGTTTGGTCGGATCTCACTTAGTTGTCACACTAATTACATCTGGGCACCAGAGGGCGTTGTCTCTCAAATTGTGGTTGAGAAATTTACGGAAATGGGATCGGGGGCTCATTTACATAGTTTTCTCTGCATTATCAGTGCTGAACTTGGCGATGGAAGACTTTCTATGTTTTTAATTGTAAATATTCTGCTCCTCCAAGGCTCTTGCAAATGGATTTGGGACAAGACAACCCTTAAAAAGTATCTAAGGAAAACCTGTAGTTTAGGATATTAGCGAGCTAATAGCTAATAGCTGTCACACTGTTGTTCGCCTTGGTGCTAGCAAGAAATTCCAATTATAATAATAATAATACATTCTATTTATAAGCGCCTTTCAAAACACCCAAGGACACTTGGGTTGGTCGCTACGCTCACTGGGGCTGCTTTGTGTTTGGTTGTCCCACGTTTGGTTGTTACAATGAGAATATTAATCCTATTAAGAAGTGCTTGGACTCGTACATATACAAAAGGAAAAGTCCAATTTGATCGTCATGAAAACTGGAGTGCACTTATATAGTACTTTATCTTCACCTTATGTTCTCCAAAACCTTTATTTAAAAAAAAAACATAGAGTGTACATCCGAGGGTGTCACGGGAGTGGATTTTATCTCCCATCTCATCCCACTCCCACAGAAAAAAAAATCATTTGGCGTTCCAGTGCCAGATGATAAAAAATAAAAATAAAAATGCTGTCCCGTCTCGCTCCCGATAAAAATGACTCCCACTCCTGCCTTGCTCCCATTCAGATTGACTCCCAGGGGGAACCTGTTTGTTCAGACGGATTGTTTGTGGCCGGATGTAATTTGGATTCCTGGAGCAGGTGGAAAATTTGATGCCTTTGCATTCTTTCTGTGGTGGACAAATTAGGTACCAAAATGTGGAGAAGGTTACAGCTCGCCTCGAACAATGGATCGCCAATTCGTCCAAATGAGATTTCCAGTGAAGGGCGAAAGGCTGATTAAAATTATTGTCATCCTGTTCCCAAAACAAATCGTGGACCCTTATCTCCTGAATGTCAATGCTGCAAGATGCTGGAGCCTTCCCTATCTCCCTTGTCTCCTCATTCCCCTGTACTTCGTGTCACTGTTCGGGACTCAGTGAGGTCATCTCCATGGCAACTGGTGTCCAAGGACACAGATTTACACACACACATATTCACATGATCACACAATGTTAAACACAACCCTATTTTCAGTGCCTTCCCTCGGCTTTCCTGAACCCCTCGACTCCCCTCATTGATAGTCCAGGTGCGCTGCGCAGGTGTGTCATGCTTTGAAAGGGTGCAGTCACTGCCCAGTGTGTCTGGGTGGTTACGTCTGGCCCCCGCCTGAGTGTCCCCTCCCACGTGTGTAAGTATTTTTGAATCGCTGTTGTTTATGTCTGCTGTTCATACGGCAGAGTTTTTTTTTTCTAATCCCATACTATGCCCCTCCCTTATCAGAGCAAAGGTTGGACCTTTTTTTCTCCCCATTCCCCCTTCGTCATGTTTTTCTTTTTCATTTAGGAAAACCGGGGAGCCGTTTTGGCAATGAGCAGCACGGTGATCAACTGGTTATTAAGTCCGCCTCGCAGTGCAGAGGTCATGGGTTCGATTCCGGGCCTCGGCCTTCCTCTGTGGAGTTTGCATGTTCACTCCGAGCCTGTGTGGATTTTCTCTGGATACTCCAGTTTGCTCCGACATTCCAAAAATATCCCTGGTAGATTAATTAAACACTCTAAATTGTCCGCAGATGTAATTGTGTGTGTGAATAGTTGTTTGTCGATGTGTGCCCTGCGATTGGCTGATGGCCAGTTCGGCCCAGAGTCAGCTGGGATTGGCTCCAGCACGCCTGCGACCATGGTGAGGATAAAGCGGTTAGATAATGGATGAATGGATGTCTTGGCAAATTATCAGGGTTCTCCATTCTGGCTCCCTCTGTTGGTCATTGTCTCTTGGACAGTTTGTAACGTGAATTTGCACTGGTACATGTGCAATGACAATAAATTTGCTTTTGATTCTCAAGGGAACTTAGTTAGTATTTGGAAAGTTATACAGCATCTTCCAATAAGTATTCCAACTTCCATATAGCCGAGTCCACAAGTGTCTGCTTTTTTTTTTTTTTAAATGTTCTTTACAAATCGTTTTACGGTTTCGAAATTTACATTATACTCATCTATAAAATTGAAGTGAAACCAAACAGAAATGAATTTTCATGTGATAGACGATTAACCAGTGTCATGTGAAGCAGGTTTTTAAAATGACACTTCTAAAATTGGACAGTGCACTCCAAGATTTAGATACCATTTGCACTTGATACAGCACCATTGCGTCACAGCAGAACATTGGCACATCCTCTCCAAACACCACAACTACAGACTCAAAGTCCTTGCGTTCGTCAAAAAATACCGCGGTGCTGACAAGAATGTCACGGTTCATCTTTTTGTTATCGTTTTGGGACTTAAAATAGAAAAGACAGAGTAGAGCTACTTTTTTTTCTGGTGAATGCTACAGACAGTGTCATTACTCCAACTGACACAAATTGTTGCGTGTTGTACGAAATCTAATGGGATGTGCTTTCCAAAACACACACCATTCCTCATAGTTGTCGCCGTTCGTGTTCATACTTCCTCATGCTGATTCATGTAACGTTGGGCCAAAAGGTTGCTGTTCAGACTAAATACACAGTATGTTGTACTTCTTTATGAGTTGAGAACTCACGTCGTTCCTCTCCACAAGGAACCAAATCTATCTGAGCTCACTTCAATGACCTTGTTTGATGATTCTGTTTTGAATCAGAATCCAGAAATATTATCGGTACATGAAGCTGCAATACCCTTGTACTTTATGTGTTGCTTTGACCCAATTGTTTTTCCTTGAAAGGTTGTTCTCAGAATAAACGAGCTAGTTTCAAACTCACCCTGTGGATTACACCATGTTCGAGTTATCTCCATCTACAGCACTGAGATATGACTGATGAACAAGTTAATGTAAATATGTCACTCCCAAGTCAGATACGGGATCGTTGCTTCACCAAGCATTTACACATTGTGACGATTACGAGTGCCTTAAGCAACTTACGAGGTTTTTTTCAGGCAAGTCCACGTGGATTTCAAACCACTAATCGATGTGATTCAGGGTCAATTTCCAATAGCGTGCAAATTCTTCCTTTAATTACAAGCCACTGTAGCCTGAAAATGATATTTTGATGTAAAATAATTACATATTGTTACTTCAACACTATCCAGTCATTGTATTGAGTATAAATACATGTATACATGCATTTTCCTCCTGTAATTTGTTTCAGTTCGAATTTTTTTTTTTAAGTGAGACATTCATAAATGACACCTCACTTAAACATACTACACATGACATAATTGTATGAAAAGCAAATAAGGTGGCTGTGTGAATACATAAAAATAGCGTGCGCAGACTTGGTTGTTAACTTTGCAGAAGTGTTATATACCTTCACAGAATTTATGACATTTAATCAAACAATTCAACTCATTTTACTCACAAAGTCCCACTGTAGCAGGTTACCACATTTTTAGCCAATCACAACTTGTGCCGCACGATATTCCGAACACAAACATTGCATAAAATAACACGCTCATAGGATTGCATTAAATCATGAATTAGAAACGAAAACACAGGGAGGCCATTGACCAAATGTTGTAGTCTGCATGTGACCATTCTTTCCATGTTTGATTTGTGACAAATTGCACCAGCTGAGTTGAGGCACAAGTGTATTCTGGATGAGAAAAGTGTTTGTCCTCTTTCATTCGCTCCCTATTTAAGCTCAGTCTGGTCCCCTTCCGTTAGGCAAAGTTGAATGTTGTTTTTTGTCAAAAAGGCTCTGATTAAACGGAACACCGAAGGATTGGGGGGAGGTCACACTGGAATTTTTGGCACTGTAAATTAGGCCTTCTTTTTGGCCATCGTGTTGCTGTAATGTGATGTAATGGAATATTGGTATTTACATTGACCATGCATTATTTTGCGTGTGTTTAAAGCACGAAACAACATTCTTCATTCAATAGACTCTCTCTTTCTGACACAAGCATAATGCATGAACATGAGGTCATATGGGATGAAGCCAACATCTGCTCCTTGAACAGAAACACATTATCTTTATTGGTAGCATCGACAGACATCAAAATTCCATGCCGG